TCTTCATTTTCTTCATTACTTATTTCTGACATATCATTTTCTTCTGTTAAATCATTTATATCTTCATTTTTTTTAACAAAAACTGTATTATTATTTCCAACATTAACTTGATATCCATAATCTTCAATTGAAAGAATTATTCCATAAACAACATCATTTATTTTAATTCCTCTATTTTCATTTATTATAGAAATATCAAATGTACAATCTAATCTATTTTCTTTTGTAGTTGGTGAAATTACTGATAATGGAATTATATCTCCAAGTTTAACAAATGGAATATTTTCAAATGAACAAACATATTTTAATCTAAATGGTAAACTAATTATAATTCTACCATCTTTAATTTCAGAAACAACTCCAAGAATTTTATCTTTTGGATTTAATGAATAACCAGTTGGAAATGGAATTCTTGTTATTTCTTTTTCTTTTTTTTCTTCTTTTGCTTCTTTAAATTCTTTTTTACTTACTTTCTTTGGTTTAACATTCTTTTTCTTTTCTTCTGTAAGATATTTTAATTGGGTTTTATTATCAATTGACATTGTTTAATAATGTAAGTTAACCCTAATTTTTTTTCAAAAAAAAAAGAAAAGTATCCATTGATATAGTAAATTCATAACTGTTATTTAAATTGAAATGAAAAGTACTATAGAAAATGATGATTCAGATGAATTTAAACTTCAGATTATAAATACATCTAATCCATATTGGATATGTCCAAATGGATTAATTATTATTGAACGTGATAATAAAAATTATCAAATAGCAAGTGAATTTATTAAAAAAATATCAAAAGTTAAATGTCTTTTAGAACATATGGAAGAATATATAATAACTGAATATACTATTTATTCAGCAATATCAAGTGGAATAAAACCAGAAATAATTATTTATCAATTAAAGAAATATTCTAAAAATAATATTCCAGAACGAATTGAACAACTTATTGAAAAAACAATAAAAAGTAGAATTATAACTGTTATTTGTACTTATGAAGGAAGAAGAATATGTGAAGGAGATAAAAAAATAATAGAAGAAATAAAAGAATTTATAACAATGGATAAGAATGAATATGAATTAAAAAGTAATATTATAGTATTTAAAAAAATATGTCAAGAAAAAGGAATTTTAATAAATGAAAAAATTGAAATTGGAGAAAAAACTATTCCTATTGCATTAAAAGATGATACTGTTTTGAGAAAATACCAAATAAGTGGAATTAGTTCAGTATTTAGAAAAGGATTTGCACAAAGTGGAATTATTATTTTACCATGTGGAGCAGGAAAAACATTAATGACAATTGGTATTATTTGTACATTTCAACAACCAACAATAATTATTTGTACAACAACAATATCTATAGAACAATGGCGAGATGAAATTAGAAAATGGTCAACTATTCCATTAAATAAAATTAAATGTTTTTCATCAATTATAAAAGAAACAATAGAAGAAAGTTATATTGTAATAACAACATATCAAATGATTCAATCAAAAGAAATTGAAGAAATAAGAAAGAAAAAATATGGAATGATGATTCTTGATGAAGTTCATTCATCAGTAGCAAAAGAATTTAGAAAAATATATTATTTAATTGAAGCAAGATGTAGAATTGGAATAACAGCAACACCAATTAGAGAAGATTTTAAAATTAAAGATTTAGATTATTTAATAGGACCAATATTATATCAAGAAAGTTGGAAAGAATTAATTAAAGAAAAATATATAGCTAATGTTCAATGTATTGATATTAAATGTCCAATGACTATTCCATTTTATGAAGAATATATTAATAATTCAAATTATAGACATAAAATAATTTTATCAGCACTTAATCCAAATAAAATTGAAGTAACAAAATTTCTTATAAAACAACATTTAAAAAGAAATGAACAAATAATATTATTTTGTGATTCTATTATTGTTCTTAAAGAAATTGGTTATCAAATAAATTGTCCAATTTTTTTTGGTGAAAGTCCAAATAAAGAAAGATTAGATATATTAAATAAATTTAAATTAAAAGATATTAATTGTATTGGAATGTCAAGTGTTGGTGATACTTCTCTTGATATTCCTGATGCTAGTGTAATTATTCAAATTAGTACAAATAATGGTTCAAGAAAACAACAACTTCAAAGACTTGGAAGAATATCTAGAATTAAAAAAAATGAAGGAATTGGTTATTTTTATACATTAACATCAATAGATACACATGAAGAATATTTTATTCATAAAAGACAAATTTATATGCAAAATCTTGGATTTGGATTTGAATGTATTAATAGTACTATATTAACTCATATGAATACTAATGAACAATTAAATTTAATTAAATATATTCTTAATGAAAGTGATAAACGTTATTTTAATTCTAAATCTAAAAAAGAAAATATTATTGATTTTTAATTCATTTATTAATTTTCATGTCTTTTTTTCCAACATTTTATACTACAATATGACATTAATATTAATTTTTCTTGAAATTTAATACTTCTTATCATCATTGGATCACATATTTTTTTACAAATATGACATTTAAATGAATCATTATGAAATATTTCATTTAATGGATTTGGTAGTAATTCTTTTTTTAAACATTGTTGATAACAAATCCATATTAATTTAGGAATTCTTCTAATTGGTTGAACAAGTGCAAATTTTGCTAAACATCCATACATTCTTTCAAATCTTTTATCTTGTATTTCTTTATGTTCAATAATATGAAGAATTTCTATAATTTTATCAATTAATCCTTTTCTTTGTGCATATTTAACTACTTCATTACTTTCATATCCTAATCCATTTATTGCTAAACATCCTAATGTATTACATGAAACTCTCCAATATTGTGTTGTACATTTTTCATTTACTAATTTATTTATTATTATTTCATGTATTTTATTTTCAATACATTTCTTTTGTCCAATAGTACAATTTCTTGATATATTTGAATATGCTGCTAATACTGAATATTGTAAATCTGTATTATTTATTTCACATAACATTGGTTTCATTTTTTCTATAATCCCATTTTCAACAATAATTCTTGGATTTATTCTTGCATAATTTGCATATGTTGCACATAATGCTGTTTGAATAAATTGATCATATGGATGAATTTTTATTAGTATTTCAATTTCTTTAATAGATTCTAAATCAATAATATATGGTCCAACATTTGCTAATATTGAACAACAACATCTTAAAACTGTTAAATTATATTCATATCTTCTAATAATCTTTTTAATAATTTCTATTCCATTACTTCTTTTAAATTTACTTCTATTTGTTATTTCTAATACCATAATAGCAATACAATACATTACTGCATTAATAATTTCTACATCCTCTTCAAATCTTTCAATTATTTTTAATAAATTTTCTATTGAAAAAAATTCATCTTCAATTGGTGGTGGAAATGTACTAACTGTAAATTTCCCTGGAACTTCATCTCCAATAAGAACACTACAATACCCTTCACATTTCATTCCATTATATCTTTGATTTGATTGAAGAAGTTTAGTTCTAATTTTAATTTCTCTTAAAATTATTTCTTTCAATTCTTGTTTATTTGTTTCTAATGAACTGCGTTCATTATTATTCATTTTTAATATTCTATTCATTATTTTTTTT